TCTTTATGTGTCAACTATTGTGAAGACAGTCTTATTTTTACATATCTACTACTGTGTGGATATTCTTATCTTTATGTTTTAACTAGTGTGAGGACAGTCTTATCTCTATGTACCTACTATTATGTGAACAGTCTTATCTTTATATGTCTACTGTTGTGTGTACATTCTTATCTTTTTATGTTGACTACTGTATGGGCACAATCGATTGGAAAAAATTATAGCAGAAGGCATGGTACCAGGAAGAAGGGGCAGGGGCCGACCAACACGAAGATGGGCACGGGATATATGTGACTCCTAGAGTATGAAAGTGCATGAGGTGGGAGAACTGGCGAGAGACCGAGTTTTTTTTCTTCAGGCAGACCGTGATGAAAGCGACGTTCTGCAAAGGACCCGCCACATGATGATGATGGGCACCCTTATCTTTATATTTACATTTGTGCAGGCAGTCTAATCTGTACATCTTATTCAAAGCATATTTATTCCAACTCTGTGCTACCAGTGCCAGACATGGTCACTCACAACAAACCATAAAAGAAAATTAGTGTAACCACGGAAATGAGATGTCTGAAAAGGGCTGTAGGAGTGATTATAAGAGATAAGATCAGGAATGAGATCATAAGAGAACAAGTCGGCACAGAACCAATTCTGGATTACATACAAAGACAGCAAGTGAAATGGTTTGCCCACTTAGAGATAATGCCTTGTGACACCATACCATACAAAGCATACATGGAAAGAGAAGAAGGACGTAGAGCACGAGGTAGACCAAGAACAAGATGGAAGGATAACATCAGAGAAACTCTACAACAGCACGATGTGAATATGGTCGAGGCGGCCAGAAGAGCTAGAAACAGAACCTTATATCTCCCTCGACACCCACAGTGGTAAAAGAGGAAGTGAAGAAGAAGAAGAAGTCTAATCTGTATATGTGTACTTCTAAGCGTACAGTCTTATCTTTGTGTCTACTATATGTAGGCTATCACACATCAATATGTATCATGATGTGTAGCCTGCCATAACAAGTAAACTATAATGTCTCGTATGTGGTCCATGGTGTTTTCATTGCAATGCCCTTTCAAGGCTTTGTGTTTTTATATACAACAATAATTAGATAATAATTCCCCCTGTGTGGGTTCCGGGGCCCCATTGTGGGGAAAACAAGAATAGACCCACTGCTTCCCCAAAAGCATGTCGTAAGAGTCGACTAATTGGAGAGCTTCCTTTGAAGTCAGAGTGCCTCTGCCGGAGAGGCAAGGAACCAACAGTCTGTATTCAAGAGAATGAGATCTGTAAAACTGATGCTCACACAACACTCAGGTTCTGGAGTAGGACTGCAGTTCAGTAGTGGACGAGCAACCAGAACTTTCCGCCAGAGTGTACAGCTGGTGAATGCGAAGAAGAAGAAGAACATAATAATTTTTTATTGTAATAACATGTTTCTGATACATACAGACACACAAAAACTATGAAAATTGTTTATTTGTTTTATTAACTGATTATTCAATACTTTTAACAGAAATCATCATCGTCCTTTGTGTACTGTTTGATGCCACATAGGCCTTGCATTTGATTCCTTCACTCCGCTCTGTTGCAGGCAACTCTTGATTTCTGACATAGAGTTCAGTCCAGAATTTTGTTTCTTGGACATTCTCTTTTTCTCAGACCATTTGTTTCCCATTTCAGTGCAAGTTTTGTAATTCTTTGCTCATTTTGTCTCAGAGTCTGTTGCCTGGAATGGCCTTTTTTTCTGTGAGTTTCTGTAGCTATGAAACAATCTTGTGGTGGGGTAGCTGGCCTCATGTACAAGCCCTTCTCCTTTTTCATCCAGCATGGGACCGGTAATAGCAGAGATAAATATGAACTACAAAAGTAGTTAGGAAGTATATCTAGGAAGTATGATCACAGAGGATGGTAAAATTGACAGAGAAATAGAAACCAGATCTCAGAAAGCAGGTGCACTTTATACCAATTGTCACCCTGATTAAGACATCCAAGCGTAACTATGAGTGCAAAAAGACTAATTATTAACAGCATATTCATTCCAACATTAAGCTACCAGTGCCAAACATGGACACTATCTAAAGCCCATATATGTAAAATTACCACCTGCGAGATAAGATGCCTGAGAAAAGCAGCCAACTTAAACATACGAGATCGTGTTAATAATGAAACTATCAGGCAAACTGTGGGAACGACACCTTGTACTAGATTCATTGAGAAACAGCAGATCAAGTGGTTTGGCCATCTCGTTAGAATGCAGCAAGATCAAATACCATCACAAGCACTATTTCTCAAAAGATCAGCTACAAGAGCAAGAGACCGGCCGGTGAAATATGGATCGACAACATTAAAGACTCTACGCCTTCAAGGCTTGACAATAACCAGTGGCAGCCAACGTGCACTGGATCGCAAATTATTCCTCCTCAAAAGCTTAATGGCAGAAGTGGTTTATGATGATGATGATGGCGACAAAAGTATTAATTTGACAAAACTGAAGTTCGGAAAACAATAGTTCAAAATTTTATTATAAAATTATACTATGTATATCTTATCAAACAGTTTGCAGAATAATCTGAAACAATGAAAAATTTAATAAATAATCTGACATACACACAATTAAAAATTTGCAGATAAAACAAGTTATACAAATGTGTACATAAGTTGTCATTCCCTTTCAAAGTTTGACCCAGATTCCTAGTTACTAGAGGTGGCAAAGTAAGGGATTGCTAGGACTGGGCGAAGTATGGAGTGGCTCTACGCCATGAGGCCAGGAAGGCTATCATGGGTCACACCAAATCGTCCTGGCCATTAAGGTTCTGATGAAGTTGTAACAGGCCTTGTAAGTGGGTAATAGATGTATTATTGCTACAGAAAATATAATGTGATCTAAATTCTAAATTATATACAAAGACAGACAATCAAATGATTTGCCTGCATAGACAGAATGGCTTGTGACCCCATATCATGCACCAAAACAGGAGAAGAATATCAAGCATAAGGTAGACCAAGAACAAGATGGAAAGAAACTCTACAATAGCTTGATGTGTCTATGGTTTAGGGAGCCAGAGGCGCACGAAGCAAAAACTTAAATTTTCCTTGACACACAAAATGATAACAGAGGAAGTGAAGAAGAAGAGGAAGAGGAAGAATCACTGATTGTTATTGATCTGAGACACCAATGGGGTTTGGAACCCACACAGATAAAAAAAAGGGGGATATTTGATCATTTTCAGCTTTATACAATTTAAAAATGTGCAGGCATTAGGATTAAGAGTGGCTGGGTGGGGTTGTTGGGTCTGGGGGGGGGGGGGGTCATAGAGCAGCCGACTGATGGGTTAAAGTGCTAGCTGTGTTAGAGTGGCTGGCTGGGGTTTAGAGTGACTAACTGGGTGTTTCAAGTGGCTGGCTGAGTGGTTCGTGGTTGGCCAGGGGTTCAAATGGCTAGCTGAGTAGTTAGAGTGGATGGTTGAGTGGTCAGAGGGGTATCTGGGCGTTTAGAGTGACTGACTAGGTGTTTTGAGTGGCTGGCTGAGTGGTTAGTGGCTGTCTGGGTGTTTTGAGTGGCAGGTTGAGGGTTTGAATGGCTAGCTGAGTGGTTAGAGTGGCTGGCTGGCTGAGTAGTTAAGAGTGGCTAGATGAGTAGTTAGAGTGGCTGGCTGAGTGTTTAGAGTGGCCAGTTTAAGAGTAGAGTGGCACTGGCTAAGGGTTAGAATGACTAGTTGAAGGGGGTTAAAGTGGCTGGCTGAATGTTTAGAGTGGCTGGCCGAGTTTTTAGAGTGCCTGGTTGAAGGAGGTTAGATGGCTGGTTGAGTATTTAGAGTGGCTGGCTGAGTGTTTAGAGTCACTAGTTGAGAGGTTAGAATGGCTGGCTGAGGGGTTAGAGTGGCTGGCTAAAAGAGGTAACAGTGGCTGGTTGAGTGTTTAGAGTGGCTGGCTGAGGGTTAAAGTGGCTGGTTGAGTGTTTAGAGTGGCTGGCTGAGAATTTAGAGTAGCTAGCTGAGTGTTTAGAGTGGCTGGCTGAGGGGTTAGAGTGGCTGGCTGAGGGGTTAGAGCAGCTGGCTGAGGGGTTAAGAGTGGCTGGCTGAGTGTTTAGAGTGGCTGGCTGAGTGTTTAGAGTGGCTGGCTGAGGGGTTAGAGTGGCTGGCTGAGAGGTTAGAGTGGCTGGCTGAGGGGTTAGAGTGGCTGGCTGAGGGGTTAGAGTGGCTGGCTGAGGGGTTAGAGTGGTTGGCTGAGGGGTTAGAGTGGTTGGCTGAGTGTTTAGAGTGGCTGCTGAGTAGAGTGGCTGGCTGAGTGTTAAGAGTGCATGGCTGAGGGGTTAGAATGGCTGGCTGAAAGAGGTTAGAGTGGCTGTTTGAGAGGTTAGACTAAATATAACATTGCTTTAATATATTAAGTGGTGTTTTTAATTTGTACTAGCAGAATATCTGTTATTTTAATCAAGGTAGGTAGGTAGGCAAGTACGCCATACCCACCAGGACATCACACAGAGTGATATACACCCAGTGACACAAAGTGCCGCCATGCGGATGAGGATAATCCATGGAGAGGTCCCGGAAACCCAATTCAGCCGTGAGGCCATATTTAAGGCCTGGCTATATTTAGGGCCCCCGGCAAAAGCCAAGGTGGGGCTTCAAAATAACTAAACATTGCATCCCACGAGGGGATGACTGCGGTGAGTAGTCGAACTTATTCAAGACTGACTGACTGACTTTCTACCCCACCAGGACATCACACAAGCGATAAACACCCGATGACACAAAGTGCCACCATGTGGATGAGGATCGCCTTGGAGAGGTCCCAGACACCGCGTTCAGACATTTGGCCATATGTATGGCCTGCCTATATTGCGGCCCCTGGCAGAAGCCAGAGTAGGGCTTCAAATGACAAAAAATTTCATCCTGAAAACAATGAAATTGAGAATGAGACTTATTCAAGAGCTAGTGTCAGCAGCTGATTGGCTGGTTTTGTCTGAATGTCCTACCTATCACCGATACGTTATCTCAAGGAAGGAACGTGTCCCCAACTTCCGCCATATGCTCAATTTCTGAACCAGCATCTACAGAGGAGGCACCATTTTCAGCTTTCATTTGCTCTGTGTCTGCTGTTACAGGACTACTTGTCATTGTATCCATATTTTCTATGTCTCTGTTTGTCTCCATAGAAATGGGATTAACTCCCTTTTTATCCAAATTATCTTCTCCTGGATCAGTTACTGTCGTCTGATAAGAGTCAGAGTGCAAGGTCGACATTGAATCAGCTTCACTACTTTCCTCACTAAACTGCGGTGATGGAAGTATCTCCTGTAAAACTGGTTGACCCAGGCTGCTAAACTTTGTCTCCATACTTGACCAGTTACTGAACAGAGTCCTCATTCCTTCTGGTCCACCAGATGCACTTGATAATCTTGATCCTTCGGCCATGACCAATGCTTGAACTGACAAAGTTGCATGAGCAGTGTTGCTGTATGGGCGAGAGATATCAGCAAACCTCATTTTGCCTCCTATCTGATCACTTGTAGACGCAGTCAAATCTGGCAAATATCTGTCAAATACAATGAAAATATAATAAAACTATAAATCAGTTCAAAATGAGAAACTGTATTTTTACAGCAGCATATTTCTATTTCACAGGCTGTAGTCTTTCATAAGTGGTTGCTGATAAAACTGGAAGAAGAAACATGGATAGGAAGATGGACAAGTTATAAATAAGACCAAAAGAAAATAAAAACATAAAAGAATGATGAATCATAACTTACTGTGTGGACGTGTTTGTGTGTGAGAGAGAGAGACAGAGAGAGACAGAGAGAGAGGGGAAGAGAGGGTTATTCAGCTATTTGACCTGTCTGGTGAGCAGCATACATCAGTAAGTATCATGACTCTCCAATCATTTCTAATTTAATCAACTTGGTGTAGATTATTTTATTTTATGTAGGCCAGGTATTTATTTTTTCACTCCATAAGAGTTTTACAACAAAGAATAAACCTAATTATTTTTTTCTTTAAAATTTCATTATAAAGAAACACATCTTTAAAATTTTCTGAAATTCAACTCTAAGAAACTAGAGGAAAAGAAAAAGAAGAAGCAGAAGAAGTTTGTCATCTTTGTAGGTTGTTATAAAAATCCAGGGAGTTGAAACCGATCACCATCGAGTAGATTAACATTCATGATGACCACTGCAACACTGTGGCCGTTAAATCATTAAATTAATTCACATAAATTCTCTAGGAGCAGTGGGAGTGGAGGTCTTCAGGGGCTTTAAAGGGATAAAGTCTCGTTTGACTGTGCTGTTATCATATTTCCACAAAGCTTATGAAAGTGGCCTTACATATAATGAGTTGAGGTCTGAAGAACAATACACAGAGGTACTTCTTCTTTACTTTCTCTTTCATAACTTCAAGTGTCGAAGAAGAAGAAGTCGAAGGAGATATAAGGTATTGTTCTTGCTTTTCTGGCTGACTCGACCATAGACACATCACATTATTGTAGAGTTTCTCTGATGTTATCTGTTCATCTTGTACCTGGTCTATCTCAATCTCTATGTGCCTCTCCTCTATTGGTGTATGCTTTGTATGGTACGGCACCATAAGTTATACTCTCTACGTGGGCAGACCGTTGTACTGCTGTCTTTGTGTGCAGACTAGTGTTGGTTCTATGCCGAATTCTCCTGTTTATGACTTCATTCATAATTTTATCTTTTCTGATCACTCTTGCAGGTTTTCCCAAACATCTACTTTCCATGGATACCTTTGCCTTCTGCTACTAAAGTAAGTTCTGCTTTGCTCTTCCTTCTGTTTTTTTTTTTAAATCTTGCAATTTATCTTTCTGTCTTGTATCATTTATCATGGATGAATATCATTCAGTCAGTCCCTTTATATCTCTGTGTATTCATTGCAGTAATAATAAATCCATCGTTTGCTTACTAGGCCTTTTACAACTTCATCAGAGACCCATTAGACAGAACATTTCATGGTGACCCAGGATAGCCTTCATGGCTGCTGTAGTGTTGCTGTGACGCAAGGCCACACCCTACTTCACCCAATCCTGGCATCTCCTACTGTGTGCAATTTACCACCTCTCACAACATGGATAAAAGCCCTAGAAAGGCTGAAACTCAGGAATTCACCAATGCATGCTTTCTCAGCAACTCAATGAGCATGCTACTAAAGATCAAGGTTGGGTATAGACAGCAGTGACTCAGTCTTATACAGTATGCTGAGTTTTACAAAATCACCTTCATTTTTGTCCCACGGCATGCTGGTGTTAAAGGCAATGAGATAGCAGAAGCACTGGCTGGCAGTGCATCTTATGAATGGGCCATCTAGGGACAGGAGAGACATCATCAATGTCCCACGAGAGACTAAACGCTGTGAGGCTTTCAGTTTTGTGGAAAATGATATTTCACTGAATAGACTGCACACCAAGGGTGTGCCAATTGGAGCAGCAAGACTTGAAAACCATGCGGCACCAACCGGTAGTTACACCAGCCAGAAAAAAATGGGTGCTATTAGCCTATAAACACTTAGAGACATACTCAAGAGATAGGAGCATTTATAGTCATGTGTGATGAGTGTGATCTTTAAATGAAAAAAAAAAAGTGAAATGAAAAACGTGGACATTGTGGCGGCGCTTTCCATGTACAAATTAACAAGTAATTGTTTGGAAGTACACTAACCTTTCAATATCTACTAGAGCAATTTCATCAATCACATATGGGACATCCTTCCAATTCCTGTAGTTCGACAGTGCTCTTGGATTTGCCCAGGACTCAAAACCAAAATTTTTAATCCCTAGAACTACAAAGGGAATGTTGGAGAAGATCATCAGACTCCCAAGCTTGTTGTTACAGTGTCTGCCTCCCTGAATCTTGCCCCGGCACTTCACCGGACCGATCAGTCTGATGTCATCAAACAGGGTGTTGTCTTTTTCAGCAACTGTGTGCGTCTTCTTCATGATATCCCTACAAGATAACATAAATGAATGTCAAATTAGAAATTTTGACTGGTACTACACTTTTAAATAATTGACAAATTACTGACAACATTAAGCTGGCTATCTGATAGCAGAAAATGTGCCGCCACATGCACATAAACCACTCCTGTTGAAAATAATGTTCTGCTTTGGCATTTAAAGACAGGCACATTTGCAGATGTGCTAAAACATCTTTTGACAAGCTATAATATTTGCAGATGTGTTATAGCATCTGTTGACAAGATATAACACTTGCAGATGTGCTATAACATTTTGAAAGGCTATAACACTTGCAGATGATCAATAACATCTGTCGACAAGTTATAACTTGTAGACAAGCTATAATATTTGTTGACAAGCTATAACATCTGTTGAAAAGCTATAGCAGCTGTTGACAAGCCAAAACATCTATTGACAAGCTATAATATTTGTTGACTAGCTATAACATCTGTTTACAAGCTATAACATCTGTTGACAAGCTATAACATCTGTAGACAAGCTATAACATCTGTAGACAAACTATAGCATATGTTGACTAGCTATAACATCTGTTGACAAGCTAAAATATCTGTTGACAAGCTAAAATATCTGTTGACAAGCTAAAATATCTGTTGACAAGCTATAACATCTGTTGACAAGCTAAAACATCTATTGAAAAGCTATTACATCTGTTGACAAGCTATAACATCTGTTGACTAGCTATAACATCTGTTTACAAGCTATAACATATGTTGACAAGCTATAACATCTGTAGACAAGCTATAAATCAGTAGACAAACTATAACATATGTTGACAAACAATAACATCTGTAGGCAAGCTATAATATCTGTAGACAAGCTATAATATTTGTTGACAAGCTATAATATTAGTTGACAAGCTATACAATTTTTTGACAAGCTATAACATCTGTTGACAAGCTATAATATCTGTTGACAAGCTATACAAATTTTTCACAAGCTATAGCATCTGTTGACAAGCTATAACATGTGTTGACAATCTATAATATCTGTCTATAATATCTGTTGACAAGCTATAACATCTACAGACAAACTATAACACTTGTAGATGTGCAATAACATCTGTCGGCAAGCTATAATATCTGTTGACAAACTATAACATCTGTTGACAAGCTATAACATCTGCTGACAAGCTAAAACATCTGTTGACAAGCTATAGCATCTGTTGGCAAGCTGAAACATCTGTAGACAAACTATAACATATGTTGACAAGCTATAACATCTGTAGGCAAGCAATAACATCTGTAGACAAGCTATAACATCTGTAGACAAACTATAACATATGTTGACTAGCTATAACATCTGTTGAAAAGCTATAACATCTGTAGACAGGCTGTAATATTTGTTGACAAGCTATAATATAAATTGACAAGCTATAATATCTGTTGGCAAGCTATAATATATGTTGACAAGCTATAATATCTGTTGACAAGCTATAATATCTGTTGACAAGCTATAACATCTACAGACAAGCTATAACATATGTTGACAAGATATAACATCTGTAGACAAACTATAACACTTGCAGATGTGCAATAACATCTGTCGACAAGCTTTAACATCTGTTGACCAGCTATAACATCTTTTGACAAGCTATAATTTCTGTTGACAAGATATAATATTTGTTGACAAGCTATAACTTCTGTTTACAAGCTATAATATCTGTTGACAAGCTATAATATCTGTTGACCAGCTATAACATCTGTCAATAAGCTATAACACCTGTCAATAAGCTAAAACATTTGTTGACAAGCTATAACATCTGTTGACAAGCTATAATATCTGTTGACAAGCTATAACATCTACAGACAAGCTATAGCATATGTTGACAATCTATAACATCTGTAGACAAACTATAACACTTGCAGATGTGCAATAACATCTGTCGACAAGCTATAATATCTGTTGACAAGCTATGACATCTGTTGACAAGCTATAACATCTGTTGACAAGCTATAATATTTGTTGAAAAGCTATAACATCTGTTGACAAGCTATAACATCTGTCAATAAGCTATAACATCTGTCAATAAGCTATAATATCTGTTGAAAAGCTATAACATCTGTAGACAAGCTATAACAGCTGTTGACAAGCTTTAACACTTGTGAAATGTTAAAACATGCTTGGACATGCTCTAACATGTGTATACAAGTTACAACACTTGCAAAGATGCTATAATACCTGATGCTACAGAACCTATCAACACGATAACACCTGACAACACTGGGATGCATGCAGTTGACAACTTCTTCTTCTCCACTTCCTCAAGTTACTTCCTCAAAATTTTGAGGGTTATTGTAAGGATCTTCTGAGCTTTTTCCAATGCACTTTATAAGTTTGTCTTCATTCCCCAAAGACTGTTCTTGATGCCATCATTCTATATTCTTCATGGTCTTCCTCTAGCTTTATGTCCATTATATTTCTTCAGAGTCACTCTCTGTGGCAGTCGGTACAAGAAAACTTTCATCAGCTGGCCAAACCATCTAACTAGCTGCACTTTAATAAACTATATCACTGGTTTCAAGCCTAGTCTTCTCCTAATAACTGACAACAACATGACAAATACCAACTGACAGTCATCCAATACATACCAGTTGACAACAACATGATGTGTCTGACAAATCAACCTGATGTCTCTGCTGTCAATGACAACATCCCCACACCCGTGGCACACCTGCAACATTTGTCAGTTGTTGAAGATCACACGAAGTAAATGACTGAATGAATGAACAAATGAATGAACCACTTTACTTCCAAAGGGTTACAAATTTTGGCACGCAGACCCTTCTTACATCTGGCCCTTCCTAGCATTCACCTTTTATACAGCAGTTGTATACTGTTAATTTTTTCCCTACAACATTTCACATGAAATGGCACAGGCCGTTCACATTTTCCCTGTGGGTGTCAAGGATATATAAGGTTCTGTTTCTAGCTCTTCTGGCCGCCTCGACCATAGGCACATCGTGCTGTTGTAGAGTTTCTCTGATGTTATCCTTCCATCTTGTTCTTGGTCTACCTCGTGCTCTACGTCCTTCTTCTATTTTCATGTATGCTTTGTATGGTATGGTGTCACAAGGCATTCTCTCTAAGTGGGCAAACCATTTTACTTGCTGTCTTCGTATGTAATCCAGAATTGGTTCTGTGCCGACTTGTTCTCTTATGATCTCATTCCTGATCTTATCTCTTATGGTCACTCCTACAGCCCTTCTCAGACATCTCATTTCCGTGGTTACCAATTTTCTTTTGTGGTTTGTTGTGAGTGACCATGTCTGGCACTGGTAGCACAGAGTTGGAATAAATATGCTTTGAATAAGATGTCTCTTTGTGCTGATTGGGATTGTCTTATGCTGTAAGAGGGGAGCTAGCTGTCCCAATGATTTTGCACATTTATTGTGTGAAATTTTGAAACACCTGGCTATCCCAGTAGTGATAAACGACAAATTGTAGAAACAATCTTCATACTAACCTTGTGCCATCAGTATCAGACACTGACTAGAGAACATAAAAGGAAACTAATCGCATATGAGATAAAATGTTTTAGAAAGGTTGTGAACAAAACTAGAAAAGATCACATGAGAAACCAATAAAACAAAGATTGAAATGGTTTGGCCATTTAATGAGAATTAACCCAATGATGCTGGCAAGAGAGCGTACAATACGAAAGTAGAAACACCAAGAGGTAGGGGATGACCAAGAAGAAGATGGATTGTAGGAGTCACTGATATTTTAAGACTCCACAACATGACAGCATAGCAGGCAACCGAGCATGCCCTAGCTTGGAAACCAATCATCTGTTAACCTGAGATGTCTGGTGGCACAAAGTAGAAAATGGAGAAAAGAAAGATGCACTCCTCATCTGTGAACCTGCAATGTCTGGTGGCACAAAGTAGAAAATGGAGAAAAAAAAGATGCACTTCTCATCTTTTTCTCTATTCTCATTCTGGAAATGCGGTGTCCGTGGGTTAGGCGTTGCGTAATTTCAACGTACCTTGATCGAAACCCACTGCTGGCTGCATGTATTTTTATCATGGTATGGGGTGTCGCAGGTCGACCCAGCCTAAAATGGGTACCAGGATGGCTGTCCTGGGGAAGTAGAGACGGCTGGGGTAATGCTGACCACATTACCCACCTAGTGCCGATTGGTCTGTAAAAATATGGGTGCTCTTCCCATATGCCAGATGCACCTAAAAGGTGTGAAAAGGGATCTTTACTTTACTTTTACATCCTGGAAATAGTTCTCTTGAGTGCATCTTTTACCTTGAACTTGTCAAGTTAAAACTGACACATCCAACTTCATCGAGCATTTTCTGACCTGGTTAACTTCTCGGATTGTTTCGTGAGACACAATGTAGCCTTGTTTGTATAGTTTTCTCTTTGTCCTTTTATCTACAGGTGTTGCCCCTGGAGAACATGTCCAGGAAAACCACGTTTAGATTAGTCGACCTTCAATTCCAATTCCTTTTAAGAAAAAAATAAAAAACTCAACCTCGTTCAACCTACTGCTAGCTAGCCAACAGTCTCTGGCTATATTTGTGGTCTTGTTTATTTGGCTAAAGTTCTGGTATTTGCCCTGTCCCTGAGCTGAATGCTTCTTTCCTCCAAGTTAAACCGCTCATTCCCTATCCTGTTGTCAACTGTGTTCTTCTTGTCCTTTCATTTCTGATGTTTTCCCCTTGGTTTTAGCTCCAGGAGCTTCTCAACATAACGTCCTTTGGACCACCATTTATAGTTTTAAAATTTTGAGTATTTTACTTTGCTGAAACTGAAAACAGTTTTTTTGGGTTTGGATAAATCCGAAAAATGTGTCAGCGTGTGACCATTGCGGTCTTATAGTTGTCTTCCTGCAATAAGAACGGGTTAATCATGTCGTGGAGATGTGTGTGAAATGCTAGGTGAAGCCTCACAATGATTCTATCTGTCGTTTGTTATAGTGTGGTCCGACTGTGTTGGTTTGGGTTGGTAGCTTAAATACCAGATCCCTGGAATACCCAGCTCATGCTTTGAGATCCAAATGTTCGTCATGAGGTAGATCTTGGGCATTCACTGTTGTCCAAGGAGGCTTCCATAAATGCTGAGCTAACACATGATGC